AGGAACTAGATCATGGATCTAAGCACAAACTTACCAAGAATGATGATTTCTTATGGAAGAACCCTCTTGAAATCCCCTAGATCTCGAAATTTTGATGGAGGAATGAAGGTATTCTTGAGAGAGTTTGCTTTAAAGAGATGGATGAAATGTGTGTGTGGGTTGTGTGTCTTCGGCCGAAGATAAAAAGGAGAGGGAGAAGAGAGATAAATTGAGTTGACATGCATGGAAGTATGGGATTTGTGCATGGGTTTCCAATGGACAAATATGAGGTGTCTTGCCCTCATAATTCTTCATTTCTTCCTTTTTATTTATCTACTTTTTACTATTTTTTTATTCTTGTTGGCCGAGAATGGGCTAAGGAAAAGAATGGTTTGGGCCTTTTTGTGCTTGAGTCCATAATATGGGCCCAATTGGATGGTTTTCGGCCCATTGGGCCTTTTAGAGTAATTCACAGCCCAATATACATCAATGAACGAGTTTTATGGCCCATTAGGGCTAATTAGATTTGTTATGGTCCAATAAGGCCCATTTACATAAACTAGCCAATTTTAGGCTTATAAGGCCCAAAAAGGTTAAGTTTTATGGAAGTGGGTCCAATTAGGGCCCATTTAAGAGTTCTTAGCCCAAAATAACATTGTTCTCAAAGTTGCAACTTTAGCCCTTAGGCTTCTCATGGGTCGACTCTTCTAACCCTAGGGACTACAAATGACAAAATAATAATAGAAGAGAGGATTCAGAAATACCTGCAAACTCTCGGGATGTTACAAGAACCGACGGTCCGATTCGGTTCCTATTTTCCACCAAGTTCGGTTCCCGGGCCGGTTCCGGCCGGGTCGGTTCCGATGCTCATCCCTAAGTTAACTTTTAAATAAGCCGTATGACTTAGATTATTAATAAACCAGCTTTTAAGTTAAAAACTAATTTTTCACCTAACATGCCAAACACACCTTAAGTGTATTTAAAAAAAAACTAACTTATAAAGTATCTTTTGGTTACCAACCATAACAATCTTAGCTCAAAGCTGTAACGTAACATTCCAAAAACAGTCTTAATGAAATATATTTGTGAATATTATATATTAAGTTTGAATTTATTGTTGGGTTTATTATGAATATTTGTATATTAAGTTTGAATTTATTGTTGAATATTGTATATTAAGTTTGAATTTATTGTCGTAACAAAAATCAAGTTGCATCAGTTTGTGTTGCATAGTGCTACTTTTGGACAAAAGACCCGCCGTATGACCATATCCACCAATGGTAGTGAGGTCTACAAATTTTAGATATAATTATATCCTAACAAGAAGTGGTTTTCTACTTTGGTGCACTAACATGTCCACCAGTTTTTAGAAGGTGTTCGCAAACAGTAGGTCGACATATATCTACAAATCAACGGATAGATGTAGGGAATATTTTGAAATAATACAATGACTTATATCCAATGTCCAATATTTGTTAGAAACTTCTTCTTTTAATTTTAGTCATTAAACTTTTTATACACCTAAGGTTCCTAAACAAGTGCTTAGAGATAGTTTTGGTACAAGTTTTTTTGTATGCCTGTAAAGATAAAAAGTTCCGGTATAACTAATGGATTGTTCTGCATTTTTTATGTAGAAAAAAAATCGGATATAAATCAAATTTGGTGTATTATTATTATGATTATAGTCGAGTTTAGTTATTAGTTGGTAATTTGTTTATGTTGCAATTAATTAAATACATTGGTTATGTTTGATTAATATAATTGGTTTGATGATTTTATATAGAAAATTTGAGGTGGTTGTTATGAATTTCATATTTTACATTCTACTTGGACACATCTTTTTGGTCTCATGCTTTCTCATTTAGTCTTTGGTGTAATTTATAACACGTTTTTAAAAGAGAATAATTTTATTCTAAAAATAAAAAAATCAAACCAAAACAACCCAAATATCCATAATTATCTGATTTTAAGCATGATACATTTAACCTTATTTGAATGGACACCATTTCACATTTACCATGTTTTACATATTCTAAAACTAAAATATTTTGACATTTTCTTTCATATTTTATTTTTGTAATTTGTAACTTGTAATTCGATCGACTTCTTTCGTGACCGACTAATTCAGCAGCCACGAAATTCGAACACACCCACCGTTATCTCTCTCTTTCAATCACCAAGCAATAAGCATAAGTTTCACACTTTTAGGTTTCATATGATCATATTCATCTATGGTATATGATAGTTAGGTATTTCATTTTCACTTCTCATGAACAAGATTCACTAGTGTATATAGAATACAGATGGCCGGACCGACTCGAAACGACGGTGAATCGTCGGAGGCGGTGGGGATTCCGACGGGTTTGAATCGAATTAAGACTCGTATTACGTCTACTTCCAACGATAACAATCAGCTCAGCTCTAGTAATTTCCATAGTAAGTCTATAGCTAGTCGTTTCAAGCAGAATCATCAGAGGTCTTTTTCCAAAGGATTTGTGAAGCTTCATTCTTCTAAAGAAGGTACTCATATTGTTTTTCCTTTAACACACGCACAGATGAAAATATTTGACTCTGTTACTGTTGTTGTCGTTGTTGCGGTTTGCCTATTTTAATTCGTTTCCTGATTACTGAAAATTTTGGTTGATTTTGTGTTACTCGATTGCTTGATATATTCAATTCGTTGTCGAACTAATCGAGATACTGTATTTACATTTAAATATGTAGAAGAATTTATCTATCACTAGAATGGATCATTTCTATTTTATAACAATCAGCGACTTGGCTAGCTTAAATTTTGCGGTTAATTGTAAGGGTTGACAAATTCAAATTATCAACATATGTTTTTCACTTACTCCTAAAAATGCTTGACATATTCAATTCCTTGTTGAATTTTATTTTGAAATCTGAAAAGAGCATCTTCTGGACGATTGTATGTACCAGGATTCCGTAAAGGGAAAAAAATTGCTCGATGGTTGACATCTCATCTTTCCAAGGATTCTGATAGAGCTCTTAGAGATAAGCCTCCTGAAACTGAGGTGAGACTTCATGTAAGCATGATCAGATGAGTGTTTACTCATTTAGATGATACATAATGTAGTTTTCAACTGGAAATTTCAGTTATTGAATAATTAATCTAAAATGTGGCAGAAAAGACAACATGAGGTCAAGGCATTTGATAAGGAAGCTGTTTCAAGTAAACAACAGAAGGTAAGAAGATCCACATTTGGAAAGCAAACTGAAGCAGGAAACATAGATAAAATGCCAGAAGTGATGAAAAGCTTTTCACATGAACTCGGGCCTAAAGGTGGCATTAGACCTTTATACACACGATCTCATAGCTTTAGTGATTTGAAGGTATACCTTTGTTACCTTTGATGTGATTAAGTATTTACCTTTGTTCTTGTTTACTGACAAGTCAGCATATTCAGGAACTTTTGGGATCATTGAGGTCAAACTTCAATGCTGCAAAAGATTTGGTAAACACAGAGCTAGCATGCTTCAAAGGGGAGGTGATTGAGGTATCACAAAAGTCAGAAACATTATCTTTAGAAGATCAAAGATCAATTCAAGACCTTCTCATTCTTTCTAAAGAATGTATAGAGATGTCATGCCAAGACTTCCGCACCAAATGTGAAGCCATTGTTCAAGATTTAACAAAAAAGAGGCAAGATTGCCAAACAGGCCCATTGAAATGGCTTTTTACTCGGATGCTTTTTATACTAACACGCTGCACAAGGTTGTTGCATTTTGAGAAACACAGTGAGCATATTGATGAGGTGTCCCTTCTTAAAATGAAAGAATGTTTGGAAAAGATTCCTTCATATGAAATGAGCCGGATTTTAAAGTTAGGAATCGTTGATTCCCATTCCGGAGATGGTTTAAATAATAAGTTATTGAATAATGAAAAAAAATTACATACACAAAAGGAGGAATCCATACCTATAAGTGATTCAATAGAGAGATTGCCACAATTTGAAGATTCGGGCGATTTAGTAATTTGTCGGATATGTGAGGAATATGTTCCAGCTTCACATTTGGAGTCTCATTCTTATATATGCGCATATGCAGAAAAATGTGATATAAAAGGTTCAGATGTTAATGAAAGCCTTTTAGGATTATCAGAGATACTTGATCAAATCATCATATCCTGCACTCCTGTAGATGATAGCCCTCAAAATTCACAATTTCAAAATTTAGATGGTTGCTCTCCTAAAATGAGTGAGTGGAGAAACAAAGGGGTTGAAGGAATGTTTGAGGATCTTCATGAAATGGACACTGCATGCATAGAAGATTCAACCCCTGGTACCTTTGTAAATCTCAAAGGGTTTCCAGGTGTGAAAAGTCTAAATGGCCCTCCCTCATCCACAGGAAGCATGACATCAGCATCTTCCACACCAAAAGCTGCAAACTTTGACTTCTTCTGGTTAGAGCTTAACCACCCTTCCGAATTAGAGGATGTTCAGCAGGTATGTCCTTTAATCTTTACCTTTTTTTACATTCGGTTTCTATGTTCACTATAAGGGTATATAAGTAATTTTCCTTGTTTCTTTAGATGACAGATCTTAGGGACATTGCTCATTCTGCAGCAGAGACAGATCTCATGGAAGAAAGTTCACATGAGGCCTTGCTTACATGCATGGAAGATTTACAAGATGTTTTACAACATAGCAAGTTAAAAGCACTTGTTATTGATACATTTGGTCATCGAATAGAAAAACTCATTAGGTGAAAAGCATACACGCATCTCTACTTTTAATCACCATGTTTTTATTTTTCACATTTCCTTATATGTATACAGAGAGAAATACATAATTGCATGTGACTTAGAGAATTCAAATAGAAGAATGAGTGATGTTGTGGACACTGCATCTCCAAGTAGTTCAGTTTCAACTCCTTCACATTCTCTTCATAAAGAGAGAACAAGCATTGAAGATTTTGAGATTATTAAACCAATTAGTAGAGGAGCTTATGGGAAAGTATTTCTTGCACGTAAAAGAACAACTGGTGATTTATTTGCTATAAAGGTATAAGTAGAGTAAAATCTTTTCCTTTTTTAATACCATTGTTGATAATTACTCAATTCCTTTTACAGATTCTCAAGAAAATGGACATGCTAAGAAAAAATGACATTGAAAGGATAGTTGCTGAACGTAATATATTAATCACAGTTCGAAACCCATTTGTGGTAATCTACATTCTACAATTCCCATTTCTTAATGAATCATAAATTACGAATTTTGAAATTGTATATGAGAGAATATTGTCAATATTGGTTTTTATTTGTAGGTTCGTTTTTTCTATTCATTTACAAGTAGAGACAATCTTTATTTAGTGATGGAGTATCTAAATGGAGGTGATCTGTTCTCTTTGCTAAGGAATGTTGGTTGCCTTGAAGAAGATATAGCACGCATTTACATTGCAGAACTGGTTTGTCAAAATCAAAAACTTTTTTTTTTTTTTTTTTACTCTTTAAAAGATTTAAATAAGTTATTTTTAATTTTTCATATCACAGGTTCTTGCTCTTGAATACCTTCATTCACTAGGCATTGTACATCGAGATCTTAAACCTGACAATATATTAATCGCACATGATGGTCATATCAAGGTGTGGTGTTATACTTTTTAGAGTAAATTACACGAATGGTCCCTATGGTTTGGGGTAATTTGCACGTTTGGTCCCTAACTTATTTTTTTAACTCGGAAGGTCCCTACTGTTTGTTTTTTTTGCACGCTTGGTCCTGTCTTACATAAAATGACTATTTTGCTCTTGATTTTTTAATTTATTTAAATAAACACACCCCCATTCCATCTTACATTACTTTACCTTACCTATCACATCTTATTTAAATAAATTAAAAAAATCAAGGGCAAAATAGTAATTTTAGGTAAGACAGGGACCAAGAGCGCAACAAAAACAAACTGTAAGGACCTTCCGAGTTAAAAAAATAAGTTAGGGACCAAACGTGCAAATGACCCCAAACATTAGGGACCATTCGTGTAATTTACTCTACTTTTTATTAAATATGAGCATATCAAATGCATAAATATAAAAACGTACTTTCCAGTCTTATTTATGCAATTACTATATATTGTGGTTCTAATTATGTTATATTTAATCAGCTTACAGATTTTGGGCTGTCTAAAATTGGTCTAATAAACAGTACGGATGATTTGACCAGACCAGAGTCAAAGGGTGTTATTGTTTCAAATGGTCAAAGCGTTGACCATGAATGGAGTGTTGAGAGAAGGGGGCGATCAGCTGCTGTTGGCACACCTGATTATTTGGCCCCTGAAATACTTCTTGGAACTGAACATGGTTATGCTGCTGACTGGTGGTCTGTTGGTGTTATTTTATTCGAATTATTAACAGGAACCCCACCTTTTAATTCAGATCATCCAGAGGTAAATTTAATTTTTTTTAATTGAATCATAACTTTTAGGGTAAATAGCATAAAAAACACTCCGTTTACACCAAAATTTTAATTTGACACCGTGTTTTTTTTTTCTCAAATTTGACACTGTGTTTTCCAATTTGTTACAATTCTGACCACTTGACCGGTTAACTAGGTTACATGCTGACGTGTCAGTTTTGATGATGTGGCATGCTGACATGATATGCTGACGTATCAAAATTGAATTTTTTTTCCACAAAAAACACTAAGTTTTCATTTTT